ATTCAAACCCTAGTCACCAAAACCGATGGGAATTCCGCCCTGACTTGATAGCTTTCGGGATCTTTCCCACGTTCCTGTGGGTCAGGATGATGTACATCTAGTTACCAGCAGGATGCAATTATTCCAAATTCTGATCGATGACTCCAGCATAAACACTGTACATTATAGTGGTGACCTCAGGGAGATTGCCCAAAAGCAATATTCCCAGTACATTGTAGATAATACATTAAACTCCTGATATATTGTCACTCCAAGGGAAAAAAGCTCAGTGACTACATCCAGGGCGACTATATAATAATAATAATTTCACAATGCTACTTGAAAATTACTTTTGCTTCCTTCTGTTTATGGTTTCATTTCTGTTCATTAATTGGTGCTATTTCTGAGTTTTGTAACCGTCATCTATTCCCATGTGTAGCAAAACTATTACATAATTACTGTAATAAATGCAACATTTTGAATGTATTCCTTTGTGGGTGAATTTGTATGTCAGTTAAACAGACAATATTGTTAGAATAAAGAACGTGTTCACTTTTCATTAGCAATAGAATAGATGATTTCAATAAGAACACATGAAAGGTCATTGTGGACGTGATGTACTTGTGTAATTTCCATCTATTCACTGCCTAGTCAAAAGTGATCAGATTAAAAATACTTTTGCGTTGTTTGGAAAATTAGTACGTCCGAATAAAAAGATTTTTCCACATAATCCATCAAACTATGATCATATCTCTACAAATAAATAGCAGTCAGTTAAAAGTATTTATGAAGTATTTTAAGTGATTTATTTAGCCGGTAGTCATTTTTTGGTGGAGAATAAATGAAATCTATTTCTCACTGTAGTGCTTGCTATTTTTATAAAACCAAGTTTAAATGTTGCAATTTCTTCCTGTTTTTTTTAAAAAAAACATTTGAAAGGGAAATTGAATTTGCCATGAGCACAAATAGCAGCTAAAGTACTTATTGAAGGGGAAAGTGCTAATGTTACATTATATAATTGCCATCAGCTGCAAGCGGTGGTCTGCAGTCATTGCTCTTTCATATTCTAATGTTAGGTGACACCAACAATAAAAAGATGCAATTTCTGTCAATGCTATTCTGTGATGATAAATTGTTCAATAGCCTCCACAGTTATTTATCTTGGCCGTCGTTTGTGCAACCAAAAAATATTTTAAGACTGCATCTACGAAACGACAATGTTAGGCAGAAATATTGTAATTTGCAACTGACACTTTTTCTCTCGTATATTATAACAAATTACGATAGTTACTGTGACATCCAATTCACTGGTACAATGTGAATGCTGCCAGATACTGACATTCACCCAAACTGGCACAGTGGCCTCAGGCAAACACGAGATTCCAGGTATGCGTGGCTTTTTCCTCTGAATCTGAACAGTAAACAGGTGGATAATTAGCCTAAGATTGTCTCAAGACATCAGTCTGTCCATTGCTTTGTCACTTTGTTTGAGTTTAGAAAGGTGTCACGCAGGATGTCAAACCGAGAGAATAATAATAATAATAATCCTTCCATTTTATATAGCGCCTTAACACTTCTTCGAAACATCTCAAAGTGCTTCACAGAATACGCAGTAAAACGGATGGACCTGCGGATGTTTTGTGGGCGAAACGCGGCAGCCAATTGTGCACAGCAACACCACCACCAACAACAAATTGCATTTACAGAGTGCCTTTCATGCTGGGAGGACGTCCCAAGGTACCGATATTACAATTAGAGTTTGTTATTAAGATAACAAAAGCACGCTGCTGCCAATTCCATCATTAGCAAAGCAATTTGCTCAGACTTTGATGGCAAAATCTAACACAAAAAAAACTTGATTCACTTCTGCTGTGTGTAATGCAATTTATTTATTACAAAAAAAAGGCTCTCTCATCTCCAGAAATTGCTTTCATCTTTGAAAAGGTACTGACGTCCATGTGCTTAGGACTTTCATTTTCTAGAATGATGGGATTAAATCTATTGGCGGTGATAATTCTTATAAGTATTCTCTAGACAGAACTGAGACAAAGCTCGTGACATTGGGGGGACTTCAGCAAATTATGCTTACGAATAATTAAGCATAATATGAAAGATACGAGGATTGATTCCCTCTATTTTCATTTGATGGGTTTGATGGGTTTGAATAATCCAGTGTGCCTGAACAAAAATGCTGCTCAGCATATATTGCTGTCAAATTTAAGAAGGTAAAACAATATGTTAGAGAACGCTAAAAGTACTGTACGGACAAACAATGCATCAAAAATATACTTTGGTGGATAAATTGGAAGCAAAGGTTATTTGGTAACAAACAGGTAAGATGCTATTAAAAGAGAGGTAAAAACAGCTCGACTATTTTTCCGAAGTTATTTGTAGCAAATACATATCTAAAAAACTGGACTGAGAATTCAGCGGAAAGTGTTGCATAACCGTTGTGTATTAGGGCACAATTTGTATTTTANTTTTTTCTCCCCATTTGTGCCCATTGTGCTTTGGAACTTTTATTTACTTTTCCATTCAATGATTTTTCTCTGCATCAATATCTATGGTATGTGCCAACTCTTCATTGACAATGTACAAGTCAGCTATCAAACTCTTTAATTGATACAACCCCTCATCATAACCAATTCTACTTTAAAAACTGAGTTGTTGAGTGTTATTTGTCCTTTAAATATATACTGTCTTCACAAAAACATTCCTATCTGTAACTATATTGCCNAAAAAAGTAATGACACATTAAAATGAGCTGAAATGCATATGTAAATTATAACAAGTACATCTTTTTATACAGCCAGACTTTAATAAGGATGCTGGACACTATAGCAGTTAATTAACAAACCAGAGGTTCTTGTATTTTCAACGATTATATTCAGCTCATTAATTGTGAACAAATTTAGATTTTTTGTTGATGCAGAACATTTCGAAAATTTATGAGACACAACATAGCATTAATAAAACAATTAGCGAATAATAAATTAATAGGTTCTCCAAATTCCGGTAGTGAGGTGGTACAAGCTTCATCATTTAAATTAAGGCCCCACCCATTGAATCAGTAAAACACTGAATAAACAAACTGATCTGTATAATCTGTACAATCTTTTGATTAAAATTCAAACGTACCTCAGTCTGAGTGGCACTATTCCCCTGGTTTGGACTGGTAGATTACTCAAGACATTTACTGAAGAGCCATTCAGATGCACATCCATTTACACGTGTGACTGAATACCTTCCCGCAGGTACTAAGCTAACCTGCAATGAGAAAAAAGACAGACCGATGACTTGACAAGTAAGTTGTGCTGGACTTATTCAATGTTGATAATTTTTGATGGATGCAATTCGGGTGATTACCTTCATTCACAGAAAAGCACCGTAAAAGCCATGGGGATGATTGCTATAACTTATAAAATACAAGTTTTACAATTCATAAACCTTCTGCATGCAATTATACCATTTCCTCAGTGAATTGGATTTAAATGTATGTTTACATATCAAATAGAGCTTCGGGGAAACACTCAAATTAGAATGTAATTGGTGATAGTGGACATCGCAATGAAAGAGATATAATACTACATCTGCTGAAGAATCCTTCTCATTCTTTGAATAGAAACATCATCCACATGCTAATCACCATCACCCCCCCAGCCGTGCTCCATTCTGTGACTTCATTGGGAGAATACATCACTGTTTTGATTACTAACGTTTCACATTTCTACTTTATTAGCAAATTCACCAACTGCAGCGATGCATTCGATGTGCATTTCCATATCAGAGAACATAAGGATGGTTCGAGGTAGTCTTCTCTTCCATTTTAAGCTATGAATAATATAGCATTTTATTACCAGTAGATTCCTGCATCAACTATGCTTTTTTTAAAAAAAGCAATGGCTCCTGTCCCCACCACAAACACCCATCTGCCCAACTGGAAACCTCTCGTTGGATTGTTGGGAAGTGATGAGGCATTACAACAAATATACTTCTCGAAACAAATTGTGGGATGAAGTAATGTATGTAGTTAAAAAATGGTAATTTTACAAACATGCACTTTATTCACGGAATATATTATAGCATAGTCATGGGATTAGACAGAAATATTTTATACTCAAGATCAAATGAAGTAGCACCTAAAAAACAATTTGGGTGTCATAGTGGTTATGCAAATCATTAACATTCTGCAATAATTACACCTTTGAGGCAATTGTAAATTACAAAGTATCAACATTCAATAGCTCTTTTTTTCACAAAAATGGAGACTATTTCAGGAATTATGANTTTTTTTAAATCTACATCTGTTGCAATGTGAATATCTTTGTTTAGCTCGCGAGCGCTAATGATATCACAGGGGAACTGGCTTGGATAGGCTTCTGAGCTCCTGAGTCTGAGTGAGCTGAATGAAAATAATACAAAATATAATGATTAATTTGGGGTATTCAACTGCAAAAACTGTGTACATTAATTCAACTCCCTTCCACCATCCCGCACAATTGCTCTTTTTAAATTCTTCCAGTAATATCATGGACACTTATTAAAAAGAGTTAGGCCAAACATATTACTTACCTTACTACAAGCATTCTCCAACACTGGCTCATAAAATGGCGTTTTGGGAGCTTGGATGAAACACGACTGGTTCTAACTTGGCTCAGGCCTCGTATCACCTCATTCACATTGGCCCCAAATAACATTTTGATAATTCATCAGCATTACAAAGCTGCGATGGATACATTTTACAGGAAACTGGAAATAAAAGGTGGTTTAAAAGGATTGCAATGTGAATAGTTAGTTAGTAGCACGAGATGTGATTGAAAAAATATTTTGCTTTTCTGGATCATGAAAAAGTGCACTTGGACAATAACATTCATATAAACATTAGTCATATTGTTGAAACCAGGTGCACTATTTTGCATTCTAGCTAAAGACTTTTGATTTGATTTAACAAAAGTCTGTTGCAAAACCTATTGTACAATATTGATAAAGAACGCTGTAGTCTATAAAAATGAAACACCGAAAACAGTTGAAAAGTTTAATATAGCTTCAGCTAAAAACTGAGGTTGCAGCAGGAATAAATACAGGTATTCGATATTTCCTTAGTATTTCAAATAAACTTGTGTTTATACACATAAGGTTTGCATGCCTGAAGATACTATTGGTTTGGTAACATGTTTGACTTTATACAGTCCGTAATATGATGCAGGCTGAAGGGAAATAGTGTTATTTGAGATGATTAAACACAGACCTGCTGTGCAGACTTGTTACCATAGTTTACTTTACCATTACTATATCCACTGTCCCCAGTGCTTGCCTTTACCTCCACCTTCATTGACTAAAGACACTTCAAGAAACAGTAACATTGGTAATTAAAGCAAAATTAAATGGTAATAGTGAGGCCATTAAAACACAAAAACAGGAAGATTATTTAAGGCTAAAACCTTCTGAGCCAAGAATTCTTTGTATTGCCTGTAGCCTTCGCTAATTCTGTAAGCCAAACATGCATTCAAAGGACTAGTGTAAAGAGAACATATTACAATCTGACATACATAAGTATTTAAGATAACAATCGTCATAATTTTAATTGAAACCATGAAAATCAATCCGTCAAATATACCCATATGAAAATCAATCCATCAAATATACCCACACTCATTCAGGATTGCACTCTGCAGGACTTTAAACCCTATTTTGCAATGGACAGCAAAAGCCTCTTTTTTAAAAAACTTTTTTTTTGCTGCTACTGAATAAATAATACAAATTTAATATGAATCATGCCATTAAACTATATGCAAAACTTGCACATCATTATTGCATGCTATTGATGATCCTACATGCCATGTGATTCTAATATTACAATAAGTTTAAAATGGCTAAAGGTCCTGTATCAAAGCAATTAACATTACAGTTCACTACAGCTGATAAATGAACAGATCAGAATGCTTGTGTGTGTATGTGTGTAGTGCTAATTAAACTGTTTCCCTACTTTGTAAAGAATAAATACAAGTAAGTAGTGTTGACCCCTTAAACTCCTTGAAATTACAGTAGCATTTCTTTTGATCAAAAATGAAAGTTGAATGTCCGTTGAAAGGTTTCCTGAAGTTACGTGAAGCGTTCAGAATTCATCTTACGTAGTTTGGGAGGAAGTTTGCCCTCAATCCTTGAGCCACCCGCTAACCTCTGTAATTTGGGTGGCAAATCAGCCAAAGACTGGCTCATTGGGTCAGAGGCCACTTTGCTGGACTTTGGCACAAGTTTCTCCTCAGAGTTCCCAGGAACAGAACGGATTCTTTGCAGTTTCAAAGGCAGGTCTCCCAAACTGTAAACCTTTTCTGACGTAGTAGAACTCATCCTTAGTAATTTTTTTGGTAGATCTTCCCTCCCAGTCATCTTCTGCAATTTCAGTGGCATCCTGGTGCTTATATCATCCAGACTATGTAAGCATTCCACCGAGTTATTTGTTTCTGTTTTCACCCCTCTACTGCTATTAAGAGCTGGGGCCGTCAAAGGAGATGATATCAACAGCATTTCCTCTTGTTCTTTAACGCTGTAAGGTGTTGTTGGTACTTCAAATGTACCATGGAACTGTGAATAGTCTACTTTGAAGAACCCTTCCTCCAGAGAAATAACAGGGTAAAAGCGATGACCCCAAAGAACTTCATCTTCTGTGTATGATGTTCTGGCTTGGCAAGTCATGCCTGGAAGCAAAAGAGACCCAAATATTAATCATTAATAATTAACAATTAATTCTGAGCCCTTTAAAACCAGATCTGAACAGTACAATATATAGCCCACAGTGACCCGGGGTCGTTTGATTATTAAAATCCCGTATTGAAGCAATTGTTAAACATTATTTTCAAATCTAAAGACAGATGTTCCCATCAAATTATTTCTGTTATTATATCATCATCAGCGTTACATCAATCTGGTCCTTGGGTCATTCATTGCATACTTAAACTCCAATCACGACTGAAGTTTTGCTACTAATTTTGAAGCCCATTTCATAGAGAGTGGCTGGAGATGTGTTGAACGTACTTGTATCAACAGAAACTAGTAATTGAGTCGGAATTGAACTGTCTTTTCAAATAACTTTCTCCAGCTTTGCTCATGATAAGCCCTGAGGATTTAAGCTTTTATTTTACTCTGAAGGTTTTTATCTGGAAATATTGCATCATTATACCATTAGGCGATGTCAAGAAATCGTTTAAAATTATGGCAACAATCCAAACAGTGCAAAGGCCATACTTGGCAACGCATTTTAAAGACACTGTGAATTAAATTAATAATTATTCTTGTATTCAATATAGCATCTCTTCTTGTCAAAACCTTTCAAAGCCCTTCACAGTGATGCCATTATGTGTTTTAGCCGTGTTTTTTGTAGGTAGATCTTGTATCTTTAAATTACTTAAAACTAATAATACCATTAACTAAAAGAATAATAATAATAATATGGCTGATGAAAAGTGTTCAAGAGGTCTTCAAATAATTCGATACTTAACATGGCATATTGGTGAGAGCTCAACGTGAAATTGCAAGAACGGTTTGGATTACTTTATAGCCTTAACTTTCACCGCAGGAACAAAGAAATTGGTTTTAAATAAATTTCATTTGTATCACATTCAGCGAAATGTCAAAGTGTTGACTTCTACAATACTTTAACACATCAAATCCATATTTACCACTATGAGAAGGTAAAGGGTTCACGTCTATTAAATTAGTATCCCCCCCACTTCCACCCCCAATGATCCTTTGACCTTTTATGCAGCCTTGTGAACATGAATTGTTTATCAGCTACGTTTTGTGGAAACACAACCATAACTCATACAAAGCTCGACACGTTTTTAAATACCAAAGCATTACCGAATGGATCATTCATAAAACCCATTACATTTTCTAAATTCATCGACAAAAAATTGCAACAGGAGAAAAACGATATAGGCACATAGGAACAGGAGGAGGCCATTCAGCCCTTCGAGCCTGTTCTGTCATTAAATTAGATCATGGCTGATCTGCACCTCAACTAATCCTTTCAATTCCAATTTACCACTTTCTCCCCATGTCCCTTAATACCCTGACTGACCAAAAATGTTCACATTTACGTGATATTCTTTGGTGACAGAATGACTAAAAGAATTTTATTTCAATGTGCGATGACCAACATGTCTAAATCCAACAGTCGCTGAAAACTTCTCCCCCACCACCCCCACCACCCCATAGAGAAACCACCCCCAATATATTTACCATCCTAAATACTTCACTCCTGCGAATACAAGGAAACCAGAAAAGATGTGTATGTGTCGAAAAACTATTGAATGCATTGACAACATTTTCAACGCGCACAAACTCTGAGGAGATAAAGGGTTCGCGCCTGTTAAAATAGCAAATTAGAAAAGACATTTACATCAATATTTAGTTCTAATGTAGTCATTTCAGATCAAGGTTATCAATTCAACGCTAATTGCCCTGTAATCTCAATTATTTAGAACCACTTGTAAACAGACTATTGCCGGAAATTATTTCATTATTAATAAGAAAAGCGATTGTGCACATTTAAAGTGATTTCCAACTCCAGTAATTTTTGCCTATGTTTTTTTTACATCAAGTTTTGAAAAAAAAGGGTATTGCATACTGTGAAAAGTTGTAATGTTTTAGAAGTTATGAGTTACCCTGCTGCAGTGTTGACATTGCTCAGACTTGATATCAATTTGATAACACTTAGGGGAGAATTTCCACTGAGTTCTATAGTATTTTCTTCACATTTCAGGGAGTGGAGCATTTGGCAAATTGTTGCACAGTCTCAAAATTTGCAACTGGACTTGTTAAAAAATATACTGCAAACCAGTTGTATTTATGAATTTGCCAAATTCTGTACTCTCTAAAAAGCTAAGAGGATAAAGCAAATGTAGATTCGGTGAGAATTTCTACAACACGTGAGGTTTTATTTTAATTTAAAGATGGATCTCTCTCTCACACAACACATACCCACCCCAAAATTCTTCAAGGCTTATGGTACAACGTAATGTTTTTCTTTCATTTTCATGTAAATCCAATCTGTTGCACACATTTATACAGACAACACATATATATATAAATTGCTATTCAAACTGCTTTTGTTTTGTGTATAGCGAGATCAGATTGTAATTTCTGTTAACCTGAGGCTTTCTGCTTGACACACTGAACGTTTAATGCAGCTTAAAGTAAGGTTTAGCGTTTTCATTTTCTTCCGCCAGCTCAGCACAATTTTGTTTTGTTTCACTTTGGCACGCAAGCTTAACAGAAAGATGAGGTTTGGTTCTATCTCAAGGTCCTTCATTTTGTTCTGCAGACTCATTGCAAGCTGTGAATAAGCCAAGCAGCACTGGTGTAATTGTTCAATTTTGTCACCAGGCTTGTTTTTTTTTCCCCCAATTCTCTACAGCTGTATAGAAACAGAGATTTACATTCATGTCTGCAGGCCTTTTGAAGAAAAAAACATTTGAATTATACAAGCAGTCAGATAATCCGATATGAAAAGCAAATCGGAAAGGTTTTTCCTTTCTTAATGTTCTCCCCCTCCTCTCCTGAAGTAGGAGACAATTCCAAGTAGCCATTCTTCATGTGTGAGTCTAGACAAGTGTCAGCAGGTTATTCAACTGGAGGGCATCTCGCCAGAGTCCAATTGTGTCGTGTTTACACACAAACATTTCCAGCTGAGCTCAGGGAATAGCAATCAGCTGGAACTTCAATGGATTGTTTCTCTCCCTTAGGATTAGGATGGCAAAGTTTGTTAATGCACATATAATGTGGATATATTTATAGAGGTTTACGAACACTTCCTCCACCAATGAATCACATGTAACTAATGGCCAGCAATAAAGCAGGTACAGTCACTGATCAAGGTGGACTGAGTGGGACAATAGTAGACTTGTCACTTTTGGCTTCAGTATCCCCAGGTTATAGGGTGCTGACACATGAATAATGGCCATTTAACTGAGCCATTATGCAAACCATATCACTGAGTGAGTCATTGCCTTCAGGGGATCAGATAGTGAGAACAATAAACAGGTTTTATCATTTATCTTCACACTTAAAGACTTTGACATTGTTATTTGATGACATAAGAAATTATGTCGGACTTACACACAACACATAGGGATTTTCACTTCACGCAATGAATATTAGGCTGCCTTACAGGTTTTGTTCACCCACAAAATTAGCTGCATATATTGTTCTTCCTAATGATATATATATGTTTTAAAATATTTTATCGTGGCCCTAAAGTGACTGTTTGAACTAATAAATCACCCCTTGATTAACAATAAGCTTGTGACATTTTGTGAACTGTTGTGAATTAACCAAATATATGGGCAAACCAAATAAATTGTCTCCTTGAGCAAAATAATTCTTGTTGGTCCACAGAATTTTAAATACAGGAAACATGATTATAGTTCTGTACTTCAAATCATTTTACAAAGTCTCACAGGCTTCGTATGCCATACCTTGTTGATTTAGCAAAGATGAGACTTGGAATCATTTAAACTCAAAGTAAGCAGATACCTAAGCAAATGTAGGAGGTGAGCAACAATCCAATTGAGGATTCACATTAAATACAGCAAACACATGTGGAACATTGGTAAGAGACAACACTTATCAGAGAAGCAGACAGCTAATATTTACCTGGATTATATTTAACTAGTATTTTATTACAAGATCACTTTAGTTTCGTTGATCTTAACCTTCTAGAACACCCTCCCCACTGTATTCTTGTCACAGCATCAAGCTGCTTTTTCAATGGATCCAGTGTCCTGGTCTCAACCACCCTTCCTGACAACCCATTCCAGCCATTAATTACCCTTAGAGTAAAGACAACCTTCCTGCTATCTGTCCTGAAATTGACATTTGCGATTCTAAACCTACATCCTCTTGTTTTCCTGTCTTGGTACGTCCTAAAATATTGTTCTGGGTTTACTTTTTCAAACCTATTTAAAAATGTATACACCTCTATGAGGTCTCCATCTGACTCATCTTCTCTCAAGTCTGAAGAGCTCTAGCTTGTCCAGAGCCACGATAAAATATTTAAAAACATATATATATCATTAGGAAGAACAATATATGCAGCATATATTGCTGCAATATATGCAGCATTTTGGTAGAAAGAATGAGGGGAGGCAATATAAGCTGGTAATACAATCTTAAGGGGGGTAAAAGAACAGAGAGACCTGGGGGTACAGGTAAATGAATCCTTGAAGGTGGCAGGACAGGTAGATAAGGCTGTAAAAAGGGCATATGGGATACTGGGCTTTATAAATAGGGGCATAGAGTACAAGAGTCAGGAGGTTATGATTAACCCATAGAAACACTGGTTGGGCCTCAGTTAGAATACTGCCGCAGTTCTGGGCACCGCACTGTAGGAAGGATGTTAAGGCATTGGAAAGGTACAGAGGAGATTTACGAGGATGGTACCAGGAATGAGGGACTGTGATTATGAGGAGAGACTAGAGAGGCCGGGATTATTCTCATTGGAGCAGAGAGGGTTACAAGGAGACCTAATAGAGGTCTTCAAAATCATGAGGGGGATTTGATAGGTTAGAAAGGGAAAAACTGTTTCCACTGGTGGATGTGTCGGTGACTCGAGGTCACAGATTCAAAATAGTATCTAAAAGAAGCCGAGGGGAGGTGAGAAGAAATGTTTTCACGCAGCGAGTTGTTCGAATCTGCA